CGATGTTACCTCTTTGGTGTTCTAACAGATGGCATTAGTAGTACAATAACATTCTATGTATACCAAATTGTTAATGTTCATGTTTGGTTCATGGGCATGAAATTATATTTTTTTTTTACAGATAACACATCTTGATATGAAGTTAAATTACTATGTTAAAGCACAAATCTATAGGCGTGATAGTTTTTCCGTAAAGTGTACCAAAATACCCAGTTTGTGGGATAGTGTTAGGTCCCGCTCCGTTCGCCCTAATTACTTTTGTGATATATTAAAGCTGCCTTAACATTAATAATTACACGATTGACAATAAAATCTTTGTACCCTTCATTTTTTCTGAACAAAACATCTTTTTTTCCTTAAATTTACTTATATTATTGGGCAGTTACAAAATTAATGGCAAATTCTAAAAAAATCTAATTTTCGTGATATAAATTTGATTCTGCCTTTCGTTCTCTTTTCTAACGTTCTCTCGTCTGAGTCATCAACAAACGGTTTTTTTCACGTCCTTTACGGCCTGTTAATGTGAGTCTTCGCGTCATTTTACTGTAGTATTTTTATTATTTGTTTCGCTGTAACAATATCATATACTTACTGTAGGTGAAATATTTGACTGGTTTTCACAAAGATATCGTTCACGCATTCCTATATTATTTTTTGGAGGTACTCACTAATAGTCATTTCAAAACATGTTCAAAAAATGTCAACCTTAGTTTTATTGCAGTTGCCGATGATTTACTTTTTAGTTTTCTAACAGATGGCGTTAGTAGTAGAATAACATTGTATCCAATAAATATAAAAAAAAAACAAATTACATTTTGTTGGCAGATAACACATGTAGATATGAAGTTAAATTACTGTGTTAAGGCACAAATCTATAGACCTGATAGTTTTCCGTAAAGTGTACCACAAAAGTGCCCAGATTGTCGAATAGTGTCAGGACTCGCTTCGCTCGCCCTAATAAAATGTAGGTCCTTTTATACGAATCATTAGTTATCTAATGAAAATCGCGGACTTTCGCGAGTTGGGCTTGCTACTTCTGTTTCAAGCATTTGTTAAGTCTATGTCAAACATGCCATGATTGGTTTCCTAAGTGAGATTTGTTTACATTTATGCTAAAGTGACAACCACTTGCCGTTCTCTTTTTCTTATTGGTTTAATTACGCTATCCTTTTTACACTATTCAACATGTGTTAGAAAATTATGTTAAACGTGTATGTACTGCCATGGTGTTTGGAACACTTTTGAACGGATTTTTAAGCCTATCCGCATTATAAAATGTCATTGAGTTTCATACAGTTTCTTACGTACCGATAATTCTTGACTTGATATTAATTACAGTCTGCGCTTTGTGGATTGGAAAACTTTTGTTCGAATTATTAAGTTTCGATTATCAACTATCAGGGCGTAGTTTTTAACGATTAACCTTCGTTCGCTTGCTGTTTGGTGAGGATAGTTTTTAGGGTTCTGTACCAAATGGGTAAAATGGGGGACTCTATTACTAAGACTGTGCTGTCTGTCTGTCAGACAGACAGCGCAGTCTTAGTACGTCTGTTAACAGGCTGTATCTCATGAACCGTGATAGTTAGACAGTTGAAATTTTGACAAATGATGTATTTCTGTTACCGCCATAACAAAAAATACTAAAAACTGGTCAAGTGCGAGTTGTAGTCGAGCACGAAGGCTTCCGTACCGTTATCAATAAAAACGGGAGCTCTAATTAAATATATATTTATAGATATATATATATACATAAATATACTTCTTTAGGTGCGTTATGAAAAAATAACATCAAACTTAAATTGAAATTGGAATTGGCAACTTTCTAGGTCATCTAGAATAGAGTTTCAGTCTATTGGTCAATCAGTACTAAAATAATGATTTTTGGACGTTAGCTAGATAGCAAAATAATTGTTTGAAATGTGTTTATGGAATTTGCAGCACAGGTGTATCTCGCAAGTTTCAATATTTAAGCCAAATATGACATGTTTATGTGAAATAGTTTTTGAGTTATGAGGAAGTCAAAAGTGGCTCCAAATGATTCGTGTAACATTACAAACGGTACCACTCGCAATTCTCTTAGCTTGAACTTGGCTTGACGAGCTACCGCGTATTAATTGCGCGATTGTATCAATGGTTCCTTGCGTTCCGCGTAAGATAGCTTTATTAGGTAATTTTTCATTTAGCTAGCATTAGAAAACAAATTTGACCAACTTTTATTTAGATTCATTTAGTTTTTTGATTCCAGTAATTTCGAATATTTTGCTGTATTCATAGTTACAGATTGTAAATTATTATAAAATATATCTGAGCAGCAACCGTATCTTGAAAACTTACATGTGCGAGGGTCTGGAACTTAAATGTATTTTTAACTAGATCATATCGCCCTTTATTAATAAAACGAGATCTCGGTCAAGTGGTTTTTGTTGAAGGATTTTTACGAAGCATTTCTACATTTAATTTTTAATATTAATTATTATTTAGTATTTAATTTTTAAGCATTTAATCTGTATATATTGACAAGCAAACCATTATTGCAAATACGCCGATAATTTCAATGTTTGGATAGTCGAAGGAAAGGGTAAATTAAGATTCAACAAGCCCCAGTTGTTCAGCCTACCGCACGAGTCCAACCCAATCACCGAAGTCACCATTAATAATGCGTTTATATTCCAAAATTTATAATTACAGCTTTTAACATCATCATCATCAGAAAATTTTACACCTAAACAACGACAATCATTTAAGATACTTACTTATGTATATTCACAGAAGACAACGAGACATTTTTTTTTATTAACGAAAAACAAAACCGACTTCAAATATCTCGCTCTGTATTCATTTTATAATTTATTTTCAGGAATTCCCGAAGTATCTCCGGAGCACAAGATCCAATACCAATGAAATTAATATATATAAACATGAGAAGCGGCAGCTTTCAAATAAAAAAAGAATCATCAAAATCGGTTCACTCGAAAGTTCTGATATAACAAAAATGAAAAAAATACAGTTGAATTGAGGACCTCCTCCTTTTTTAAAGTCGGTTGAAAAGACACAATGTAGTTAAAACTAATTTTGGTGCGTTAAGGATCCGACCGCTTACCTTGGTGGCAAGCCTCTGGACGTGTTATCCGGAAGGTACAGGGTCAAATCCTGATAGCGACGCGAAAACATTTTATTCGACAGTTTGAACGACACATTTTTAATGTATGTATGTATGAATGTAACGGAATCTTTAAACGTGATTTCGCCCCACTTTGAATGATCAGATCTCAATTAAATTTTGCACACTCATCAAAGGCCCATGACAATGCTTTAGCTAGTTTCCAAAGCCAATACCCGGTAGTGTCCTTGTGCCAAGTACGCATTTAAAAATGTTTAAGAAATAAATACACGCTCTTATCCTTAGCATAATGAATAAAATAAATAATAGTTAAAAAATACGCTTTTGTAGATAACCGAACTAAAAAGTAGAAAAAAATTTGCAATAAATTTTAATTGTGATTAACAAAAAATGTTTTATTGCAGAAAAACGTGGGATGCTTTTTAGGACATTTCCATTATGACTACTTTTACCAGTATACTGTATTTTTTCGTGGTACTATAGTACCTTTCTCGGAAATATACTCTCATTAACATATTAGAACAATTGACTCACGAGAACCCCGCGCTTTTCTACTTTAATTTTTTTTATTTATCACACTAATCATAATTTAAATTGATTGAAAATTATTTCCTATTTTTTTAGTACGGTTATCTACAAAATCGTGTTTATTAAGTCTTTTTTAAACTATTATTTATTCAGATTTATCTTAAGTGCAGATATTATCACTAATAAAAATTAGATAGTAAAAATAGAGTTCCTTAGTTTAGTAAGTATATGATCAATAATTAATATTTAATATTTTAATATTTCTGTTAATCTCTGCATTCTAATCCTTTTATTCTCAATTTTTATAGCATTCATTATTGCACAAATAGTAGTCAGTTGTGATATGAGTAATTATACTCTCATTTTAAGTGTAAACGAACTCATTATTTATAATAATACCTAAGTCGTAAATTCACCCATTCTTTGATAACTTCATGTATCTATTACTTACCAACGATATTGTAAAAGTATTCATAGCGGAATTTTATTATTTTACTGTATAAATGATTAAATTTCCAGCTTTCCGAAAACTTTTGGTTTGAAACTACTTAAACTAAACCCTCAACGATAGGGGCAGGCTTATTTTGTGAACAAATTAATTTAGTATTGCAATCGGTACATTATCATGATTGTAAAATGGATAGTTAATGAAGTTCTTAAAATAATAATAATAAAAATATCTTTTTTCACATAGACGCTTGCGCGTTCTTATGAAACGTCAAAATTTTACAAGAAATTAACAAGTTCGTAAGTTACCACCGGTTCGGAAAGCAGTTTCTGTTGAGAAGAAACCGGCAAGAAACTCAACAGTTGCTCTTTTTAAAAAAAATCAGTTTACAATATAATAGTACAGGTACAATAGTCTTGTTTTAGCCTACGTGAGTATCAACAGTATTAACCCCACATATTGGCGTCGTCAAGATATTCGGCAATAGAATAATAGAATCTTAAAGCAAGCTTTGTTATTTTGCTTATAGTCAAGAGCTATAGTGATATTTATAAATATTTTGTAGTGTTGTTTCTTTAATTTATCTAATTACATTTAATGATATAATAACCACTGTAATTGATTATGCTGTGGATATAGATACTGGTCAAGGTTCACACACCAGTGGAATGGAGAGGAAGGATTAAGGGTCATGATATGAACTTAATGATATATATAATAATATTACGAAGTCAGTAACGCACTGTACTGCGTATACTGTATTACAATCCATACAAGAACTTTTGTAAGATGTTCAAAGAAAGATCCTTAAAGTCTGCCGTAGATTAGTATTTATATATTACTTATAATCTATATTTGACTTCAAATTACAAATGATGGTTGGAAATCATGCTTAAACAGCTAAAGTCGGTGATTTAAAGTAGTTACAATTGTCTCTGTTTGAATCAATTTTGGCATTGTAGAAGGAAGTGGAGTAGCAATATCCGGGTCCACAAGAAAATCGGAGGGCTTGAAAACCGCAAATCTCTTTAAAATGTTCCTTAAACAAAGTAAACATAATTATGTATGTAAAGTCAAAATTAGCAGAAAATTATATTTTGTTTGCGTACCCAGTATTAATCAGAACGTTAAATGTTATCTGCTAATATTATTTATTACGAGTGTGATAGATAAGGTGAAGATAAGGTTACAACCGTGCCGTGATATTTCAGTGTCCGGCCGGCTCGCCTTTAATTTAATATACTCGAGCAATCTGAGTTCGATCCTTGGTGCCGGCACCAATGAAATTTTAAGTGATGACTTATCACGTGGTCAACGGCGAAAGAAAACATCGTGAGGCATATAAGCTGACACTTTACTTCACTTTTAAGGTTACGACAACAAAAGAATGAAAAAATTTGATACTTGATTATTTATAGTGCTAATCTTTGCACTTAAGATTGAACATTAAAATATGTAGAAAAAGTATGAAAAGATTGTCGCCGCTGTAGGAATCGAACCCACGTTTTCGGCATTTTTCTACATATTTTAATGTTCAATCTTAAGTGCAAAGATTAGCACTATAAATAATTAAATTTCTAAAAAGCAATGGCGACATTTCTCGTACGAATTATCGTTGTAAAACGATATTTGAAATTATTTGTGTGCTGGAAAGGATATAACAATGGATGAGCCAAGTATTGCTTCAAATGCCAAAAAATAATGTAGATAAAAGACGTTAAGATTTTCGTCGATGTGGCAATCCGCCGTTTAGCTTAGTGGTTAAAGCGTCAGGCCGCGAATGCCGAAGACGAGGATTTGATTCCCACAGCGGCGACAATCTTTTTGTACTTTTTCTACATCTTTTAAAATTTGATACTCTTATGTAAGTGTGCTCGGTTCAGAGGGAAATTTAAATTAATTAAATAAAGAAATAAACGTTAGAGTTTCTTATGACTTGATTTGTGTCAGAAAACGAAATTTTATGATTTACGTATTTTGAAATAATCATAATATAAAAAAAATGTGTGTACTTATGTACTCACGTCGGAATTTATACTTCTTATGAGTAACAAAAGAAAAATAAATAAAAAAATACCACGTACTCTTTGTTTGTGAAAATGACATTAGATACAACGGTTTAATTGAATAACTTGAGATTATAGGTAAATGACAAAAATTAGTTTTATTTGGCATGGTAGTACCGTGAAGTTGGCCAATTTCCGATCAACTTCATCCAGATGCTTTTTGACTGTCAGTGTGCGCACGTCGTAAAAGTCTTACCCTTATGATTATTTCAAACTCGCCAAAAGAAGTGTTACTTCAAAAACAACATTATTAAACAAGCTTAGCTTTGAAATTGGAGAACATACCAAAGTTGAGGCGATACTACAGATCGTGTACGCGGGACTGGTAAACAGGAAAATGGCGCAGCGAAACCAAACGAGTATGCGCCTTGGGTTGAGAACACCAACCAATCACTTGGGGTACAAACAGGTAAATGTATCGCAACGTTTTGCATAACGCGATCCGTGGAATCGCAACTTGGGCCCCATAAGATCACTTTTTCATCGGTTTCTTCATTTGTACGTGGCTGCAATAAATAGTGATAAATGTTCCTGTATGCCGATACAATATTATGTTATGATTCAACAATTCACATATTTTAATTTTTGTTCTGGTCAATAAGTCAATTAACTAATAATATTTGTAATTGTATCCAAATGTCTTTTTAATAACTCCTAGACTACGCTTTTAGAATACCAGTTTCTTTTCTAAAACCCTCCTTCGATCACCGCTCATCAAAGTTACTTTTTACTTACCCGAAATCTTTTAACCGTGTGCCAGGGCTCGTTGTATCTTAGCGTTCCAAACAGTCCATCATTCATATAAATCATAGTCACAATATCGCTGCCCTTGGTAACCTGAGCAAATAAATTGTTGATGACAAAAAGGTACCGAATAGCTCTATAAATAATATTGGATTATAATAGATGGGTTTTAAAAATAACAATAATACTCAAAGAAACTTTAAAGTTTAATACGCAAAGAATATAACGCAAACTTATATGCATTTTAATTGATACATCATTCAAATTTCTGTCAACCTTATCTCTGGAAACAAGAATTTCTACATTTACCATTTTGACTGATTGCGTGTTTTTGCACCTTGTTACCGTGTGTCAATAATTAATGTTGTTATCAATAAATGACTTGTTGTTACATACCCGACGTATGTTGTTAATACTACAGTATAGTGTAGTGGAAGATTCACAAATATATCGTCCTGGTTCCGCTATCACCGCCACATCTTCATCGGGGAAGTAGCGATCAAGTGCTGTATTAATCTTACACGCCATCTGCTTGTCCAAAATTTTGCTGTGTGATTATCAAATCTTCATAGCGACTTGGTGGTTCATGGTACGATGTGTTAATGTTTTTTGTTACCATATGCACAAAGTATCGAAAGTGATCTCCCGGATGTTCTACTGGTACTTAATATCTTATTTTTATTTTTGCAGTTATATTTATTTTGGCACGTTCAGATAAAGTTATAAGAGTAAATTTTTTAAGATGCACGCGTACGACGACTGCCAAAAAGCGACATGATGCAGTTGGTTGCAAAGCAACCATCATAGGTTTTTTGATACGGTGACAAACGACATTGCATTTATTTTATTTTAATGAGATAGCTACACAACTGAAAGAGATAATTAATATTCATTGGAGTAATTTCATTAATTATCATTGAACATGTTTTAAGAAACCCGACGCAGTTTAACAAGAGATTAACAGCTGATCACGTTTGACATATTGTTATGTGAATGCTGCATGCCTTTCGGAAAGTGGACATAAGTTGTTTAAAATTATGTTACGTTACGTTTTAAGTTGATTATAATGACATAATATAGGTAATTAATGTACATAACTTCAACTGTAAGGTTTAAATAGGACGAGAGTTAAAAAGATTAATTTTATATTAGTATAATTTTCAGAAAACAGCAAAAGCAGTAGTAAAGATGATCTGTCCGAGTTAAAAATACATACCTGATCTATTCTGTCAGTCCTATCACTTATGAAACCGCCGCCAATATCGACGATTTTCATCTTTCTACCGGCTCGGGCTTCGTGATCAAATAATGTTTTCGCATACCGAAGACCTTTCTCGTGACTGTCGATGGATGAGCAGCCGCTGCCAACATGAAATGCGACTCCTACAACCTATTAACGAAATTATCGTATTCATACGTGACTGGAGATAATAAAGGTTTATAAAAACGTAACTCCAAAAAATGTTGTCTTTTTAATGAATTTATAGCACGACATTAGACAACATATTCAAAATTTTATGAAGAAATTGTACAAAATTTACACCGATTTGGGTGCCTCTTATATTAATTAAATCTCTGATGTTTAAATGTAAATTGCATTTAAATCATAGAGTACACAAATAAATACTTTAAATTTATTTTGATATGTAACCGAAAATGTCATACTTGGAGGAAAATGGCTACTATGAATACTTGGATACATACTTGGAGGTTGAGAGCGGCAGCTTCCTCTAATAAGTGTACGGCTTCAGTTTCGTAATCACAGCCGAACTTTGCACCCAAGTTGTATAAACTTTTCCCATCTACTCGAATACGAATCAGCAACCTAACACAAAAATGAAAACTTAAGAAAACAACAATTTTTCAACAACTTACCTGAAAAAAATCACCTATATATGTTTTAACGTGCAGAGTCTAAGCAGCTAGTCATAAGCAGACTAGTACTTAAATAAAATAAAAAAGAAACTAAAAATAAAATCCGGTTATTAAATTTCTTAAATGTTTATTTTGCAGGCAGATAAATAAAACAACCTGTATTCAGCTAACTATACTATATTTGTATTAGGGCACCGCAACAGCTTCTGGTGTTGCACGAATGGGCAGGGTCGCTCAGGTTAGTACCACAGCCTCGCTTCGTCTGGTGGGTGAAGTGACTGGCGCCCACTTTGTTAAAAGTTGCCAACGCATTTGCAAGCCCTCAAGTGTTGTAGATGTCCACGGGCGGCGTTTTTCAACTAACATTAGGTGAACCGTCCCTTCGTTTGACAACTTTTCATATAAAAAAATATATTTTATTCACTAACCGTGCATTTGGCCAATGTTCTTTTATTTTGGTTAACTCGAACAAGTTGTCAAACGTTGTATGAAGAACACCGGTATCACGAGCGTATATCATCTGCTCCGGTGTCTTTGACGGCATTGCGTATATAATGCTCCTAACAACAAAAATAAATTGTCAATCCGTTTCTAGGAAGAAAATACAAAATTATAACATAGGGAACGAAAGCTTCTTATAAAACATGAAAATGCGCTGTTTATTTGGTTTATATAAATTGAATTGCAATAAGTTATATTACTGTTACCTAAATCGAATTTAAATGAATAGCATAAGGTGTACATTGCTATTTTTCGACAGATAGTATTACACGAGTTAATCTCTCTCATTTTTATTTCATCATCATCATCATTTCAGCCTGTTTGAGTCCACTGCTGAACATAGGCCTCCCCCATAGACTGCCACGGAGTACGATCCTGAGCCACCTGCATCCATCGACTTCCCGCACATTTGCACATTTACTTTTATTTAATTTATGAAAAGCATTGGAGAGTTCTATTGGTTACGATATTATGTACTCTTGTGACTTACAACGGGTCCACATTCAGGCGTCTCAATTTATAAATCTCTCCCGGGGAAGCGCAGTCAAATCCGACTCCCGAAGCGATGGCTAGCTTCAACATCAAATCGGAATCGTTCGCTTTCATAGCTGTAACATTTTGTTCAAGATAAGTATAGCAGCTTCCAGAAATTGCAGTAAGCGAGTTTAAGCAAGTTTGGTTTTGTTTTACCTATAGTGTGCAACAAGGAAAGGTTGATCTGACTTAACTGATCCTGACTAACTACTGCTATATATATTTATATTTTTAATACATTTTTAATGATATATGTTATAAATGTATGGAAAAAAGAGCAGTGATAGCTCATTTTCTGGGCACTCGCTTTTAATTCCGTTCAATTGTGGTACGACCACACAACAGTCTTCGCTGTTGCACGAATGGGTGTTTTAGTTTTATAATTTAAAAAAGATTCAATCCATCTCCGTCCCATCTTCGATGCTTAAGACTACGTAATTATTGTTGTTGGCTGTAAGTCAAATAAAATAATAAGATAAAGGTTAAATATATTAATTTAGTATATTAATATTATCCTTTCCAGCATACGAACAAGTTCTGGCTATCAGCCGTTTAGCTCAGTGGCTAGAGCGTCAGGCCGCGAATACCGAAGACGTGGGTTCGATTCGCACAGCGGCGACAATCGTTTCGTACTTTTTCTACATGTTTTAATGTTCAATCTTAAGTACAGAGATTAGCACTATAAAAAACTTTAAAATTTATAAAAAGCAATGGCGACAGATCTCGTTCGAATTATCGTTGTATAACGATATTCGAAATTGTTTGTATGCTGGAAAGGATATAACAATAGATGCGCAAAACATTGCTTCAAATGCTAAATAACAATGTAGAAAGAAGGCGTTAAGATTTTCGTCGCTGTGGCTATCAGCCGTTTAGCTCAATAGCTAGAGCGTCAGGCCGTCAGTGGCGACAATCTTTTCGTACTTTTTCTACATGTTTAAATGTTCAATCTTAAGTGCAGAGATTAGCACTATAAAAAACTTTAAAATTTAATTAAATTTTTAGTGTGATTTCAGGTCGATTCGAGAATGGTTTAGATTAACAATTCGATCCACTACATTTTTTAACCGACTTCAAAAAAGGAGGAGGTTTCTTAATTCGACCGTATATATTTTTATTTTATTTTTATGTGTGTTCGGGGATGACTTCGTCATTTATGAACCGATTTTGATGATTCTGTTTTTGTTGGAAAGGAGTTATCTCAAGGGTGGTACCATGATAAGGAAACCCAAATCTGATGATGGCATCCTAGAGAAATCGAGGGCAATCCTCAAATGTTATAGGCGTTGACAATGTTTTATTAGTTTCCTAGGTTTATATCCTTAGTTTATTAGGTTCGAAATTATTATTTATCAGTTGTTTTAAGTCGTGTGTACAGGACAACGTCTGTCGGGTCCGCTAGTAGTAATGTAAAGCAGGTCATAATAATGTGATGAATGCGCGTTGTTTGCGAATCCATATCAATTTTTTTTTGTAGATGTTCACGATTGGAAAAAAATTAACATCAGTTTAAACACCTATTAACTTGCAAACATTCATGTAATAATACAAAAATCACTGTAATTGCGGACAAAATTCTAGCACTTTTTGTGCTTGAATTTTGTGCTTCTATGTAAATATTACAGAATCGAATACCGTAAAATATTTTCACTCTCGGCATTATACGTTTGAAGCGCTGAATGCGCCTGTGAGCCTCGTCCATGTCGAACACGTAAAATGGTTCTTTTTGACAACCACTCTGTATAACAGCTCGGGCAACGTCGGCCGGTGAATGGTCTTCGAGCACAAAGGTTGCATCCGATCTGAACGAAAATTCATTTTCTATCTTGCCATTCATCGCCTGAAACGTGAAAGAGTAGCTAAAATTTACTTTTGATTTCGATGAATCGACTAACGCGGAATCATTGTGGGATATTATAATTTTATTAAATGGAAAATTTATATTAATAAGAAAAGTATGTCGTTAATATATTCTTAATAAATTATTAGTTTTTTCCTTCGTCTAACTTACCCTTGATTGTTTTTTTATTAAAAACTTAAATATCTGGTCTTAAGTTACGGCCAACTACACTTAACACACTCTAAGTATTAATGCATAACACGAGAAAACAATAAATATAATTATTTCATTTAGCTTATCTTCGGTTTTGACATTTGACTTCTCATTGATCTAAATAGCTTTATGAAGGGAAATATGATTCATTCTGCCTCATAAAGAAAATGTAAACATAAATATTAAATACATACTTACATACACATTCGTAAGCGCTATCTTTTTATATAAACTGGCGTTTAGGCCTTCCATGCATTATTTGGTTCGAATCCTGCATTTTCTAAATAGGATATTTTATTTACCATTTTTTAAACATTGTAATTACTCATAAGACTAGAAAATTTTGTTGTATTTGATAGTTATCAAAGACAACAAAATTTTTAAATAGTTATTTAACTTATCAGAGAACATTTCTGAATTGTAACACGATAACTGAACATACGTTTTCAAATATGAACGCTGGACTTTTAATTGACTAATGTTCAGTCCAAATTATTTCATGAAAAAAAATTGTCATGGTAGAGAATAGAAAGAGTATAGAATCTTACTAAATGCAGTCTATAATTACAAAATATAAAGACTCACTTTAATCTCTATATGCAAAACAAATCATTATCTTATTTCTGACCGATATAATTAAGATTCACCATGAAATATTCTTTATGAAATATTATTTATATTTTTGAAACACAGAGATGAATTTATGTACCTATATATCTATTAAGGTTCAGTAAGGTTATATTAAAAACTATTAAAAGAGTTCAAACTGGATTTTAATAATAATTAGTGGGAAATAAACAAATAATTTCTTATAAACTTAAAATTCACTTTGTTCAATGATAAAATAAATCAACATGAGCAGGACTGTTACTTTGTAGGTAAACGTCTTTTAATGGGAAATACGATACTCTTTCTGCTTGGGTAAGACAGGGTATTTTCTAAAACGCCCTAGGTCATTGACCTCATTTCGTTGGCTATCTAATGCTAACGGCTCTGAAGGCTCCTTTGTCGCTATAAACGAAATATGAGACCACTAAGTATTACCTTCTTCACCGATCATATATTATATCCTATTTTATTTATCTTATCCTTTAACTCTTACGAGCAATACTTGTTTATGTATATATATATATATATATATATATAGTACCTGAAGGACCGAGCTTTGCTCGGTTTGTATTTTTTTTGTAAATCATGTATTTTGGAAATTATATTTAGGTACAAATTACTGATTAATGCAATATGCATAATATTTTTCGATCTTACCGACGTAATAATAAGAAAATATGAACTGGTGTTTTTCACAAAAGAAAGAACTTTTAAAAAATTGAAATAAATAACAAAATAACAAATCGACAAAAAATAAAAAATAAAGAAAGCAATGATCTGGAATCGAAAAAAAAAGTAAAAAAATAAGTATGTAAATTATCGTGATACGAACCGCGGCCGTCTGTTTTGGGGTCGCCCGATTACCGACCGAGCTATTATAAAATTTTTTTATGCGGCGACATTTACCGTCATATTCGAATGATATTTTTCAATCCCTGAAAACAGGGATAAAAGGACAATTGTCCTTTTATCCCTGTTTTCAGTAAAGTTTTTCAAAACAGACGGCCGCGGTTCGTATCACGATCATTTACACACTTATTTTTTTTACTTTATTTTCGATTCCAGATCATTGCTTTCTTTTTTTTTGTCACACATGGAACATAAAGCGTGACTTCAAACTCGGCCTCTTTCGTATGGGCAATCGAGCTGGGAGAACCACTGCTTACAAGCAGCAAACTTCCCGGCTCTAAGCGGTGGACCTAGATCTTTGTTTACAGCGTTCACCGCGTCTTAGCCGCAGAGGGTAGGAAACTTCTTTCACCACCACCGCATCAACGGTGCAGCCCCGCTGAGTCAGGGAGGATAAGCAGAGTGGCTAAACGTAATACCAGCACTTCTCTTCCTCCGCGATTCCATCTCGTTTACAATAGACAGGGAGAGTGGCTGCACCTCAACCTATCCCGGACACCCATTGTTTTTGAAACCTGTATACGAGATACAGATCTGGAATTGGAGATACCGTTATATTTTCTCTTTTTAACTGTTTTGATCAAATGTCACTTTATTGTTCTTATCAAAATATAATCTATATAAGTCCGTTAGTTTTATTATATTGAATACAATAGTGTATTTTAATGTTTAATAATTCTGCTGATAGACTATAATTGGGCACCAAAAACAATTATAAGATCGATAAGTATTTCTCGGAGCACAATCACAAAAACGGAAGGCTTATTAGAGCAAACTATTAGATATCGTGATCGGTGACTTTAAATCGCCCGTCCTAACACCTTATGCATTTAGCCATCGGATTGTGAAATAGTTTGCGAAATTTTTGGACTAAGTGATGTGAATAGGTGGATTAAGTCGAATTTTAACACGGATGTTATTTAGAAAGAAAGAAAGAAACACATTAATTTATCCAAATTAAATCGACACAATGTACAATTTCTGATCAGGTTTTTGTAAATATCGACACTAATTTTTAAATAAGCTTTATGCCTCGCGATTACCACATACCTTTTGTTTGATAGTAAACATATTTGAAAATGTGTTTAACAGACAAGTAGTCTAAATATTTGTCAGGATTCCAGCCTTCGCGTTCTGGTTAACACACCGACAAAAATCTGTTTCCAGAAATAAAAAAAAATAGTCACAACTTAATACCTCGGACTTCTAAAGAAAATGTTAAAATAAATAATCCAACATACAATAATTGAAAAACGAAGCTAAATCATGTTATTAACAATTTGTTAAAATTATTCCGTCACAATGAAATTGTAACAAGCAACAACAATTACCTAGATACTTAAACTTGTTATAGCTGCTCCAAATTTATTTATTGAATATATGTCGATAAAGTTTATTTAACCCGCCTAATTGGATTCACCCCAAAATGTTCGAAATTAATTTCAATATTTAACATGGGAGTTGTGTCATTAGTATTTGCCTCAAATTTTTCGTTTCTGAATTACTCTACCTAAATTTGTTTGAGGTTATATTATTAGTAGAACTGTATCAGACTAAGTTTTGTTAAAACCATAGTACTTTTTTAACATTTAACATTTGATTTATAACAAATAGCCGTGATAGCTCAGTCACTCTTTTTAATTCATTATACTCCAGCAACTTGAGTTCGAAGCCCGGTGCCGGCACTAATGAAATTGTTAATTTTAAGTGCTGAAATATCACGTGCTCAGCGGTGAGGAAACCTGCATATTTTTCGAAGATAAGTCCGCCTAACCGCAAAAACGGGAAGTGGAGGATATAAATATATGCGTCCATAGGCTGTAACGCCTTGTCTCCACGGTAGAGTGTCAAATTTTCACGGCCACTTAATACCAGATCCAGCTGTCTAATATTACAATTATAAATAATACTAAACTATACTGCAAATGCTTTCATGAAGTATAAGTGCTAGTAGAAAATTAGTTGAATGTAATATTTTATTCATATTTTTCTTCTATGTGGATTTATCGTGAGTTATTTGGATGTGAAAAGTCTATTGGCGCATGGCAGTAAAATCGGCTGGTTTGTCCTCACGGCAAAAGGCATGACGCTCTGTTGCCCCACATCGCCGTTTAAGATTCCCTTGTACGTGTCCGCATATACTACTCAGTGGCTCTGTGTAAGCTGCGTACTATTTTTATCGTAAAATATTTTTTTCATTAATGAAATTCTACTTTTCATTCATTATTTTTCTCCATATTTTCTCTATTAATTTTTCTTAATTATAAGTTCTTGTATTAACTTCAATGTTTAACATCTGCTAACCGCCTGTGACGGCCTATTTTTTTAAAATATTTTTTACTACTGCTGGAATTATAAGTATATTACTATATTTACTAACTTTTAATGTACCACGCTTTCGATTTACGCTTCTACCCAATGAGTCAAATGTATGATATATATAATAAGATATGATATAAATGTATGAGATATATAATGAATCAATAGGTACTGTAATGATAGTAACATAATATCAATTTTAACCCAGTTCGGTACTGGATTTCAGCATGCCAATTTCAAGGGATTTTAGACCAAACGCAAATTCGTAATTAACCTGTATTCGAAACTAGTTGGGTTCGTGTAGAAAGTTAACTAAATTTTATTAAGTAACAAGTTAATGTTTGTGGAAGAATAAAATGTTAATAAATTCTACTAATGTTTAATGGTCGATAGTTTTTGACCATTGTTATTTGTGTGTGTGGGTGGCTATTGTTCAATATTAATGTAACATTGAAATTTATGTAATACTTCAGTATGTCTGTCATGTTTCGTCTAGTGAGTGAGGTAACCATTTTAAAAGTTAGTAACGCATCTGCAATTCCTTATATGTTGTAGGTGTCGATGGGTGGTGGTAATCTCTAAATATCCAAGGAATCACTTGTTTGTATAACAAATTAAAAAAACCTGATCCACTTTTCGTCGATTTTCGTAGTAGCATTTTTTTAGACAGTGGTAGGGCCACCCAGCAGCTCCTGCTGTTGCACAAAGGGGCAGGCTCGTTCGGTGAAGTACCACGGCCTCGCAGAAGACCAACGTTAATTGGAGGTATATTTTCGCGTTTCGTCTGGTGAGTGAGGTAACCGGGGCACATAATTTTAGTAGTTGGCAATGCCGCTGCAATCCTTGAGGTGTTGTCGATGTCCACCACCATATAATATCGGGTGAACCGCCTGCACACTTGCTAACTTTAACATAAAAATAAATAGATAAATAAGGACATTAGAGTAATGAACCGTGGTTGATAAATACTTTTCGGAAAAACACAAAATATAGAAATGCTCCCATAATAAATTTGTGTATACTGAGTGTTATATAAAGCTTCTATAGCATCGCTCGTTCGAAAAAAAACATTATTTGAAATTGTTTGTTTGCTATAAAGGGCATAATCGCCCCCACCAGAATCAAATCCGACTTTTCTGGAATCGCGCTCACTTGCCGCTTATTGCCACACCAACGAAAATCTCGACGTATTCTATCTTAATGCTTGCTAATCAATGCTCATCTAAAGTTATGTTAGGTAGTCAGTAAAGGTTTTAAGTGCAGAGACACACACTATAAAAACTTCATTTTTTTATACTGACTGTAGGCGATCGTTTTAGTATTTTCCCAATATCCATTAATAAAAAATTCGGTGGTAGGGCCACGCAGCAGTACCAGTGGTTTAAGTATCAGAAAACTGTGAGTGGGAAGTATTTAATTTTATTACTTGGCATAGCGTAACTGAAACTGAAAGTAATAAAACAAAATTTACGGTTTTTGGCTGAAGTTATTTAAATAACTGAACAAATTTTTGGCATGTAAAGTGAAACACTTCTTTGCAAGCGTGTGTGATTTATGTTTAATGATATAAGATAATTGTCTAAGCGTTACGATCAAATTCCTTAAATGGGATATCCAAAATCCAAAAATCGACATGATGTAGTTAGTTGTAAAGAGCTTTGACTTTTACCATAATATAATTCCAAGTTACTTAATTAAACAGTTATCAATTGCAATTAATGTTTTTTGCACAAAAATTGTGTATTGGCATATGGGAAATAAAGATTAGTTATTTTTCTTTCCTTACGCTAAAGAATTATAACTTCTTACTTGCATACATAAGTAATATAATAATAATATAATACAATATAATATTTTTTGGACACATTTTTACACAACTTTCTCTAGACCCAAACTAAGCAACGCTTGTACTGTGGGTAGTAGAAAACTGATAAACATACTAAAACATACTTTTCTTTTGCAAATAAATACATATTATACAGATATAAACACCCAGACACTGGAAAAACACGATGTTCATCACACAATATTTTTCCGGTAGTGGGGATCGAACCCATACCTTCTGGCGCAGGAGGCCCACTACTCCTCACGCCAATCGGGTCGTCAAAATTACACACATATTTTTTCTTATTAGATTTATATTATAATATTTAAGGAGGTTAAATTAAAAGTTATATAATTTAGTAGATATTTATGAAACACTCGAAGTGATTTACAAATTAA